TAATCGTCTAGGTTGTCTTGTAAGGGAAAAGCGGACAGATCCTGGAATGGGCGGGGAGCTGCAGTGGCCCAAGGGGTTCAGACGCTGAACTGCAGGCTGACGGAAGGTCGGTCATTCAGCAGTTCGAGACCCGAGTGTGCCGCATGACGGAGTGAGCTCCCATCTCTAGTTCCAGCTCCTGCCAACCCAGCAGTTCGAAAGCAAGAAATGGCAAGTAGATAAATAGGTACCACTTCGGTGGGAAGGGAACAGCGTCCCGTGCGCCTTGGTGTTTAGTCATGCCGGCCGCATGACCACGGAAACGTCTTCGGACAGCGCCGGCTCTTCGGCTTTGAAACGGAGATGAGCACCGCAACCCTAGAGTCGGACTCGACTGGCTTTCGAGCAAGGGGACCTTTACCTTTTACCTGGAATGGGCAACGCTGAAGACCTCACGATGGGCCCGGAGGAATAGAGGAGTGCTCTTGGAATGGTTTGCAAGCATGGCTTCTTGATCAGTGGGACTGAGTGCGGTTGCCGTGTCTGCCTCGGTGATCCTCTCATAGCGCTCTGTGTATTTTTTTTTTTTACATTAACTCTGCTGAAGTTGAGAGCAGGGGAATTCAGCCGACCCTTCAGCTAAGAGCCATGAGGTTATGTTGAATGCAAGGTTACTGCTCCAGGTGCCAGGTAATACTGCTGCAAAAATGCTTTCTTCCAACTCTGGCTAGCCTGGAAGATGGCCCCCCTCCTCAAATCTTGATCTGGCCACTTGGGTATGTGTTACAGCCAGGGGTCATTTCCTGCAGGAGGGCACAGGAGCGGAGCTCCGGCAGTAAAGAGCCCAGGGGGCAGGCACATGCAGCAAGCCCCACCCCCTGCTCCCAGCAGCCCTCAGTCAGAGCAAGAAGCAGCCAGGTAAATTGGAGCGCCCCCCGTCCAAAACAGTCCAGTGGCACCTTTAAGACCATGTTTTGTTCAGGTACAAGCTCTCCCTCCTCTGTGAGGACAGATCTGCGTGTGTGTCCCCCCCCCCCCAATAGCTAGCAATCCAAAACAGTCCAGTGCAGCCTGAGCGGTGGGTGTTGCCTTCTGACACACTTCTGGTGATGTCAGGGGGTGTGATATATGCAAATGAGTTATGCTAATGACCTCCTGCACCTCTTTTTCTATGAAATGACCCCTGGTTACAGTAACATTGAGACTAGACTGCTGTAATGCGCTTTCCAGTAGCCTTACCTCAAAATCAACAAATAGAGTGTTGTTGGTGCAGGACGCCACAGGTCAGCTATTATTGGGTGCTATACAGACATGCTTATTATGCCCGTTCTGCAGTCACTCCGTCGACTGCCTTCATCAGTTACCAGGCTCAATGTAAAGCGTTGGCTGTCCCATACAAAGCCCTTTGTGGCCTTGGCCCCTCATGTTGCCAGCTCTTGGTTGGGAAATACCTGGAGATTTGGAGGGTGCGGCCTGGAGAGGATGGGGTTTGGGGAGGGACCTCAGCCAGGTATAATGGAGTCCACCCTCCAAAACAGCCATTTTCCTGGGTGGAATTGATCATGGTTGTCCGGCGATCGATTGTAATAGCGGAGTTCTCCAGCTGCCACCTGGAAGTTGACAACCCTACTTTTACCCTATGCTCCACCACAACAGCTTTGCTCATCTGAGCAAGGCCTTTTGCAAGTGGCAACCTGCAAAAGGCCACAATCAGCAACTGTCCGCATACATGCATTCTCTGCTGTGGCCTCCGCCTTGCGAAATGGCCTGCTTGAGGAGGTCAGGAAGGCTCCTTCTCTTCTGGCCTCTTCTGCAAACTATGCAAAACTGAATTATTCAGGAGGGCTTTCCTACATAGATAACAGGGCTGTACTGTAACAAAAGGGCTCAAAAAGATACTTGGTTAATGGGTTAGGGATTATGGTGTATACTCCTGTGTCTAGCTCATGCTGCCTGTTGTTGTAAGTAGCATCTTACTATGTAATTTCTTTATCATTTTACACATGTTTTGCTTCAGTTGTATTTTCAGATGGCTGGTTGGTTCCAAATTTCTACTGTACAAATCCTATTGGTTTGTTTGTTTGTTTGTTTTTTCCATCCCCCTGGGGGGAGGTTTTTATTGATTTTTTTACAGACTACAAAACTACAACAGAAAATATAGGGAAG